CGGCTCGACTCGGCTCGAGGTTCGGCTCGCATTTCGGCTCGATAGTCTAGACGCACCTTAACAATTTTATATTGATATAGGGTTAACAAATATACAGTAGCAAAAAGTGGACAATTCCTGTAGAAAATGCATACAAAGATAGACACATATAAAAGTTAAAATTCCTTAAACTGAAATTTTAATCATGTATATTTCTTCATTCCTCTTGTATAAAGTTGTATATTCCATATTATTTTATCCTTATTCTAACTTAATATAATAAAACAAATTCAATTTTTAGCATACACTAAAAAGAATGTTACATCAAATTTTATTAAAACAAGCGTATTTATTTTTTGTGACGTATTTGTACCATTAATAGTCTTATAAATTAATTATACAAAGTTACTTTCAATTAAAATAATGCTATTAATGTAACATCATTTCTTTCAGTGTATTAATTGTTTAAAAAATTAGTTTATAAAATTGTATTCTTTCGATGTACTAACTCTTTTAAGCAGTTGTTCATTACTCAAAACTTTTTCATAAAATTAGAAATATAATTTGAATAATGTATCTTATTTTGAAGCTATAGATTAAAATTTAAAACATAAAAACACTTATTGCGCATTTTAATAAAAAAAAAAAAAAAGGATGGAGGACCAAAGATAAAATTGTAGGACCTGTCCTCTTAAAGTAGTGTTTTGGTAACCCTAAATTCAAATTAGATATACCGTAATGATACTAGAACCTAACCTGTACCTTTCACAAGTTGACAGCATCTGACAACATGAGTGTGTGGATGATCAATGGCAACGTCGAATCCTAATGTTTGTAAGAGAACATTTTCGTTGAATACCAGGTCTTGCGCTTGTTCGAGAAATTGCTACAAGTAACAATATTGCATTAAAATTAATATGTCATATAATAGAACACATAAAAAGATCTTTTCATAAATGATGTTTGTAGAAACATGTCAAGATAAGGTCACCACAAGTGTAGATTTTTACCTCAGACCTAATGTCAGGTGGAGGTTGATCTCTGTGCAAACACATATGTGCCATTTTGATGACATGTTCTAATTTCCTTGGTTGTTCCTCTACTTTTGCTGCTAAAAAGATTGCTGCTACTGCAATAGCATTTCTGTGGAAGTGCGTCAACGAATGGAACACATAAAATCGGTGCATGTAGACTATAGCTGTATTGATGCATAATTGGGACCTGATTTTTATATATATTTTATTAAGGAAAATAATTTTTTTAGAAATATCTACAGAAATTTAAAATATTTAGGATTAATTAAGGATACGGAATACATTTTTGCACGTATATTCTCCAATTATATTGATATACGTATCCTATAGTAGTAATTATATTAATATACTATAATATTTATATCATAATCAAAATTATGGATCGGTGGATCAGGCAATTGAGAGTCAAAAGTGGTTCTTTATACGTAATTGTCTATTTATTCATAAAAATTTTGAACGTTTCGACTCACTTTGGAGTCATTTTCAACATACATAATCTCTATACATCCTTGAAAGTTTGAGACAAAATCACCATCAAATTAGCCGATCTGATGTGCAATCTCAAACATCAAAGAAAGTCATTTAACAAATGTTTCAATCAATATCACAAATTTATCATTTTGGAATTATTTCTAATTGACATGTGCAAAGTCTTCACATACGAGTCTTAAACATAATTCAGAAGACTTTGCACATGTCAATTAGAAATAATTCCAAAATGATAAATTTGTGATATTGATTGAAACATTTGTTAAATGACTTTCTTTGATGTTTGAGATTGCACATCAGATCGGCTAATTTGATGGTGATTTTGTCTCAAACTTTCAAGGATGTATAGAGATTATGTATGTTGAAAATGACTCCAAAGTGAGTCGAAACGTTCAAAATTTTTATGAATAAATAGACAATTACGTATAAAGAACCACTTTTGACTCTCAATTGCCTGATCCACCGATCCATAATTTTTGTTTTTGGAAAGTAAGAGAGTTCATAAGAAGATTACACTTGGATTTGTTATATCATAATGCTTCCTACACACATACGTATACTTTAAACGATAGATAAAAAGATATCTTTATATTTATTGTATAAAGTTAATGCGAAACAATACTAGGAGCCACAAATAACATCATATTTTTAAGAATGTTCTTTTGTTGCAAAAGTATTATGATATAAATATTGTAGTATGTGTAATATTAATATCTATAAAATCAATACAAAAGCAAAATATATGTACAAAAAGAGTATTTCTTTAAAAAGAAAAGCCCTTCTAAGTCTATGGTTGCATTTGTTTTTCACGCTCACACGCTAAAAGTTTTATCCTATCATTATTAGGGCCCTGGCACACAAAAAAACTTAAGGCAGTAAGACTTAGCAGTAAACGAATTGACCAATCACAGTAGAGGCCGTAAGACCATAACTTAAGCAGTAGCCAATCCACAATGTTGATTTCCTTACTGCTTACGTCTTACTGTCTTAAGTTTTTTGTGTGCCAAGGCCCTTACTCTGTATCAGGGTTGCCACAAATTTTTCATCTTAAAATTTCCTGACATTTTCCTGATTTTACTGACAAAATTTTGTAATTTTCCCTGACTTTCAATAATAAATATTTTGAAATATTTTTTGTATTTTCATCCTGATTTGAAAATTGTTAAATATTTTGTTGATCGAGTAATTTAACATAACAGTGTAATTAAATTAATGTTATAATATAATACTATTAATAAATAATACTATTAATGTTGTTGATACTACATTTTATCGTTAAGTTAATAGTACTTTTTGTCTTTTTCTTTCATGTATGATCATGATTCTTTTCCTCTTCCTCTCTTTCTTTTTACTACTATACTTGAAATATAAGAGGAACATAAATCAATGAATATCTTTTTTATCAAAATTATGATCTGTTTATTAAAATCTCAATCTGCTTATAAAAGTTAATATATTTGAAAGAAAAATCATAAAATTATAGAATAATATTTATTTTACTCACTTGTTCATAAGTGACATAGAACTTTCTTACATAAAACAAAAGAACAGACAACTTTAAAATTTCGATGTTTTTAGTAAAGCATTTTAAATCTTTACAAGTTTATGTTAGCTTTTTAACATAACTAAAATTTAAATACTGCAACATAAAAAATTGTACAAGTTTTTTAATCGAATGTTAATGACATCAGTGATGTTATTTCTTCATCAAGAGCACTTAGTTCATTAGTTTTTTCTGCCAAAAGTTTTGCCTTCTTAGTCTTCAATTTTGAAATTTTTGTAAACAAAGATCTTTTTTTAGCAACCGAGTTGGCTTGAAGAACAAAGCGAAATGATTTTATCGATTGTGGCGTCGTGATATAAATAAATTTCTTTACAGCTATGTTATTTTTCCCGAAAAGTGCGCTGAAATCCCTGACTTTCCCTGATTTACTGACGCATTTTTCAAATGCCCTGACATTTCCCTGATTTCCCTGACTTGAGGCAACCCTGCTGTATTCATACAAAAAAAGATAAAATAAAACTTGCAGCGCTAAGAGTGAAAAACGAATACAGCCCTTATCTCTCTTTAATAATTAAAAAAAAAAACATCGCAATCTCTACACAGCCCAAACGAATATTGCAAAAATAGATGCAAGGAACAGATTCAATATATTGAAATCTTATATATCATATGTACTGTGTAAACAATTCTTCTACTGTAGACAATTTTCATTAAATGAACATGATTAAAAAATATTTAACAAACTATTGATCAAGTATATATACAAGAAAAAATTGTTTTTTGTGCAAAATTATATAAAATTATATAGTATAAATCATATAATGTATAACCATTGAACAATGACAAAATATCTTTATAATAAAATGTCGAAATATACTAGTATTGTATACTAGGTGTATTCTGTATTGTATATATCAGTTTTTGAACATGGCCGGAGACACTACCGCGTCTCCTGATATATATATATATATAATGCAGAATACACCTAGTATATAACAGCAGTATATTATATGTATGTATAATAAACTATATATGCTGTATATACACATATGCTAGGTAGCAAAAGGAACTTTATGAAGTCCAGAAAAATGTGTAGTGGCATCTACAGTACTATCTATGTAGACATAATAAAGAAAAAGACAACTTTTTATCAAAGTATAAGATTAAAATAATTTAATAAAAAAGAAATTCTCTTTAGTCCTCTTAAAGAAAGACATCAAAAGAGAACTAAAAAAAACCTAGGATTACAAATTACTTCTTAGAATTAGATTAAATGGTAAGATTAGAAAATAGAGAGAAGGGATACAATATTATAGTTTTGATATATAAAATAATTTATTTAGATTTTGTTTTCAGTTTACAATCAAGTGGAAAAGTTGAATCAATGAATTCAATTAACAATTCTTCTTACTTCTTCCTAATAGTTTAGTTTAACGATACAAATACCGAAATTTAATAAAATATATACTTTATTCGTATTGTTATTAAAAAGAGAAATTCAAGGAATTAATGAAAATGTAAACATATTAATAAACTTGCTAGCTAAAATATAATAAAAAGCAGAAATTTTGTAATATTATGTCAAAGAGATTATCGTAAAGTTTCTGAAAAAAGATTAAGGATAAAAGTTTAAGGATAAACTAAGAGCACAAAGTAAATTTTCCACATATGGCTACAAAGATAGTGCTGGATAAAAACTTTTGCATACATCTGCACTTCCTAGAAGAAATATAAACTTGTAACATTTTTTTTAATTGTACTTGGTAAGCAACATATTAAATACAAATAGACAAAAGTGACTAGTAAGAATAACAAGATGCATATGTCAAATTTATAGATGAAGTATGTTCTGGATGTTATTTAATCTTTTTTTTCTTTTTCAAATGTTCTCATTCTCTTCTGACCAATATATCCCGTTAATCGATGGTGTTGTCCAAGCACCACATACGTACACACGTGTTCTGAGCAACACTTACGTGTTGCTCCACGTCCCCAAACGGCCGAGCGTTGAGCGCGTGATAGATATCCTGTGGGAATTATCAAGTATCGTTTACGGTACCTGTGATATATATGGGATTTCAATATGGTGAATCCTCCGTTCCCAGCGTGTAACAACTATATCGTACGGAATAAGAAACGCGTCAACCGATATCGAGATTATCCCTGTCACGGAGAATCGACTTTCGCGAATAATATTTTGATACTCGCCACCAGTTGCAAATGCCCGAAAAGCGGTAGGAAGAAGGTGGGGGTGTGATCTAAAAGTGTGGTGAACGCGATTGAACGTTGTAAGACGCGTGTATGAAAAAAGGATACACAACAAGCCGTTGTCCCATGTCCTGGATAAAGTTCGCCGCTTGCTGCCGATAGCTCAGCTCCTTGTCCGCGTCGATGCCGCATCTTCTGCTCGGCGTGTTTGCAAGCTGTTCCCTCGAGAAATACCATCTTTCGTCAGCCGCCATTTATGTGTACACACGATTCGCCCGTACAATCCGTAAACGATACACACTCTTGACGGATTGTCGCGTGGTTAGAACGATATCCAGAAGGGGGGAGGTAGAGCGAGGGCACTTGGTGCACACTCGTTCTCGAGTCACGTCCCACCACTACCGGCTACGGTCACGTCGCTTGCCTCGCTCTCGAGAACAATCGAAAATGGCGCTTGGGAGGGCGAATGACGCAACTCAATGCGATTCGATGTGAGATTGCTTAAATTGGCGAAAAAAATTCTAGCTAAGCGTATCCTCAGGTGTATCCCAGGGACACGATGTCTCGTGCGCCAAAGGCGCGGACGGAGTCCCCCACGAATTTTAACCACTCACGGGATGAGAAACAGGTTACCTGAAACAGTCGGGGGGGGGGGGGTAGGGTCTCTCTCTTTTTTTTCGTCTCCACGCAGCACGTTTGCGAGGAAACTCGTGCAGCGCCACGGAATCGCGACGTCCTGTTAACGTCTGTTAACGTCGACCGGACACACCGTCGTCGAACGTGCATGTATGAGAGAGCGTCGTGTATTCTCAACTATCATTCGCGTTCGTCCACGGGGGGGGACAAGTTGTCATAACCTCCGGCGTATCTCGTGGAGGCGATGCATCGTCATCGCGTTCAGCCGGACGAGCGTCCCCAAGCGATCTCTTCCTCGCGATGGTATAGAACGGCCGCAGGCGGTCGGTGTCGCGGTCACATCACACGTTGCGTAACATGCGTGGCCGAATCGCGTCGTCGTAAGCACGTCGACCACCGTCACCCCGTCTCTTCTTCTTTCAGAGAATTCACCTCCTCCGACGTTACGTCGCCTCGCCTCCGGAGGCCAGCGCAGCACAGCGCAGCACAGCGCAGCCAAGCGCAGCACAGCGCAGCGCGACCGCGTCGCCCTACTCGCACTCAGACTCGCCTAGCGCTGCCTAGCGCGCTTTGCTGACGTGCACCTAGCCTGTTTCACGTGTCTCACGGAGTATATAATCCTGTATCACACATGTGACCATGTATTGTGTGATACATGGAGCGAATAGGCCCAATTTCACACTAGTAAATCTTTAATTGACTCTTACGCGATTCGATCTATTTCTCATCTCTTTCTAATTCTAGAATTTTCTAGAATTAGATACGAAAGATATAAAAAATCAGTTAAACTTTTTTCTTTTTTCTTCACATTCTTCAAGTAAAATTGTTCTAAAACGTTTGAGAACGATAGCATTTCTATCAATTTGTATCGTTTACTAAAGTTTATATCACTTTCTATCACGTGTGAGCATATAATAAAATTTTTCTATCGTTTCCTATCAATTTTTTTTATATGGATTCTTGATGTAAAATTGTTCTAGAACGATTGAGAACGATAGCATTTCTATCAATTTGTATTGTTTTCTAAAGTTTATATTACTTTCTATCACGTGTGAGAATATAATAAAATTTTTCTATCGTTTTCTATCAATTTTTTTTATATGGATTTATACAGATTATATTCTACTATAGTGGATCAAATAACTACATTTAATGAATCAATCATATACCTTAGAATAAACTCCGCACTCCGCGTATGTACATATACTCGCGTAGCGTATATGTTAGTGGCGACGGAAGTGGCGTAATTCTAATATGGGTGCCACAGAGGCGGCAGCACTGTGTTCTCCAGCACTATGGGTTGTTGTTGGCCATTGTTAACGAAAGTTTACGAACATCAACGAACGTTTACGAAGATGTTCAGCAGACTCAACTGTTGCGGAGCGGATCCGTGAGCGCTCACTGCTATTGGTATATTCTTTTAGATCATCCAATAACAGCGAGCGTTATTGGATCCGCTCCGCAACAGTTGAGTCTGTATGAAATCCACCAATCATCTATTATGCCTGTTTCCACCAATGCAGATTAACTTTAATCTCGGTAACTTACTATTCATCTAATTTTTAGAAAGATGAAGAGCAAATTGAACCGAGATTAAAGGTACCTTTTCATGCTGACGTTTGACGCTCATTTTCAGCGTCAAAACAGATCACGTGATAAGAATTGGTATATTCTTCCAGATTTAAAATTCTGATTGGATGATCTAGAAGAATACACCAATAACAGCGAGCGCTCTCGTAGCGCTCTTTTCTGCCGATAATAGCAAGCGCTCACTCAACGGTTGAATTCACTAAGGGTTGATTTATACTGGCCGTAATCTGTAAAAATTGACCAATCACAGTCGAATGAGAGGGGAATAATGAATTTTAATTGTTTAATTTTTACAGATTACGGCCAGTATAATCCAACCCTAAGGCTGCGGTCGAGTTGCCACTACGAATGCTTTGAAGCGTTTGATTGACCAATCAAAAGAAAGAGTTATACAAACTGACCAATCAAGAAACGCTTCAAAGCATTCGTATGGCAATTCGACCGCAGCCTAAATGCGCCTATTGGTTCTATCTAGGAATTCTTTGTTCCTTGGTCATCTTTTCATTTTAACCTTTCCGTCTCCGTTCAATACTGTAAATTGCTCAAAATGTACAAATCTATAACCGATGGAGAGAATAAGATAAGAGACATAAAGAATTGAAGGTCAAAGCGAAGCGAAACAAACATCTTTTGTCGTTACAGCAAAAACTGATTTTATCTATCATTCAAAGATTATTCCGCTGTATATTAAATTCTATTTTGTTTCTGTCTATTGTCGAGGATTAATCGTAGCAGGAAGAGACAAGAACGGATTCTTGATATAATATAAGGTATTACAAAGTATATGAACTATAAATAGTATAATTCATACACAACACACAATAAAGTATAATCGTATTTTTTAGGAACGCCTTGCTTGAAACACAAATTCACAAAACAAAAATATTCTTATACCTACTTTTAAAATAGACTTTATTTGAAATTGATTCCATGTATATATTTATCTTTTAGAATCAAGGTATGTTCCGGATACCAAAGCCTACAATGCCTGTACCAACTACAACAATTACCAAACGGTTCAAGCAGGCTCAAAATTGTCTTTATGCATCCTATGAATGCACACAATCTTGTCTGGAAGGATATTCATATTGCGCTAAGCACATTCTTGAGGATTCCATTGCACCTTACAAACAATGTGCATTTGTATACAATACTAATGGAAGAAAGTGTCAGAATCCAGCCCCAAAATTAGATAGAAGAGATGTCTCGTAATAATATACTTTCTTGTTATATCCAATAAGATTATAAAACCATTTTTTTTTTTAAAGAAAAATTAATAGTTATATACCTGTTTCTTTTATAGATACTGTGGTGAACATTCTAGAAAAGCACAAATTGCACGGATCAAATCGACATCACGGCGTTCTTTACCAGAAACACCTGAAATGCTGCTTCTTAATTTAAGCCATTATGTCAAGTCGGTTGATTCTACTGTTGAGGATACAGAAGAGGAGAAACGGAAAGTGAAAGCTTTAGATCCTTTCAGTAAGCATAATATAATTCTAATATCAAATTTTTATATAATTTTATTTACAACGTGTAATTATATTACCTAGAGATTTTGATAAATATCATTTTTTTGTCATTAATAAGACATTTTTTCTATATAAATATTTAATATAAAATTTGAAATTTGTAAATTTTTGCTCATGCGTGTGTGTGTGTGTGTGTATGTGTGTTCATATTGTATGTTGACAAAAGTTGCAAATGAGAATATCAAATTATTGTTTTCAGCTGAAGTTGATGCTTATAGAGTAAATGCAAGTGGAAGTGACATATTAGATTATGCCAGTTCATCAGAAAGTGACGTTGAACCTACAGCTGTTACTGATACCCTGAGAGGAGTTTATCTTGATGATAGTGACAACGAAAGTTTATATAGTCCACAAGAAGATCCTCTGAAGTAAGTGTGCTCTATAACTCCACTGTGTATATGTGTGTATTTTTGTATGCGTGTATATATGTTAATTGTTTCGGGAATTATACTTATAATGTTTTTATCAGATTAGAGATTGAATTGGATTAGACTTGATTGAAATTGAATCAATTAAAAGAAAGAAACCCAATATTAAGTTAATTGATTTTGATCAAATTCCAATCTAATCTCAATCTCAATTCTGTTTCTAGTGTGATATAATTTTAGAATAATCCGCTAGCATGCTTTAGCTTGTGCAACCTTCTGCTTTAAAAAATATATTTTTTTATTTCTAACATTAAAACCTATTTATATAGGATATAAATTTAGACTGTGATTTTAAATTAAATATTTTTCTCAAACAAGTGTAAACATGTTAATATATTTACTTTTTTTAATTAAAAAAATATACATTAAAGAGAGAGAATAAACACTTTATGTAACAGAATATTTTGCATTTGTCATCTTGAATTTTCTTGTAGTTGCTTTGTGCGCAAGAATAAGATACTACTTACTCCCTAATTATTAGTATTAATTTTTTAAGGCATGCCGGCATCTTCACCGCAGAAGAGGTAATTTATATCTCGAGAGAAAAACTGATTAGACTTCAATCTCTTTATATCGATCAATTCAGAAGACTTCAATATGTACTAAAGGAAAAAAGACGGAAATATTTACTCGCTTTGAAGAAAGAAAAAGAAACATTATGTAAGTATATCTTAGATGATTTCAAAATTTTGTTATCTTTGCTGATAAATAAATTATATGCAATATATAGGTAGTATACACAACCAAAAAAGAGAAACTGCAAAAGAGAAAAAGCTTTATGAGAAATTAAAGGCTTTAAATCGCTATCACAGACGGAGTGGTGTTGAAGCGATACTTTACAGGAAATCATTAGAACGTCGCGCACAGGTAGTATCACGAATATCATTTATATCATTAATATTCAAATAAATGGATATCACTTACATCAGTTGTATGTTTATGACAAAAATTATGCTTCAGGTAACTGAGCCTCTTCAAAAACCACCCAATATATCGAAATGCGTATTCACCGAAGGTGGCGTAAAATGTGGTGAAAGAACGCTTCCGTCAGCTAAGCATTGTCGTAAACATATTTTAAAGGTACACATTTATATAACTTGTTATGAAAAAGAGATGTGTAATTAACGTATCTTAATCTGCGAATTTTTGTTCCATCGTTTGATATTATTCACACAGGATCAACATCAAGTTTTATTCAAAGCATGTGGAGCTGTACGAGCGGACATCGAATGTCACGAACCTGTGCCGGTGATTTTTGATTCCAATTGTGTATTTCACATGGACTTGCCGCCATCGTGCAAACTAGAACCTATGAAGGTACAGTAGAACTCTTCAATAATTATCTAAAACCGATCATGAATATATTCCATAATCTGTATTCGTTTCTGCAGTTTGAGGAGGAGAAACCTGTAAAACAAGAAGCATCAATGATCGACAGTCAATCGATGGAAATTGACGTGGTGGGCGAAGCGCAAGAAATCGATCCCGATGATGATATGGCGGGATTGATGAGGGAAATGAATGATGCTGCTAATTTAAAACCTTCGTTTGCAAATGAGAGTTTGAATAGTGAGACTAGTACGGATACGGCGTTCAGTTTGTCAGCGCAGATGAGCGATCGGGATGATTTTGTCAATGTATAATAAAATATAAATGATTTTCAAAGGGAAGTTATTTTCGCTGTTATGTTGTCGTTGCGATTGATAAAAGTGCCACTCTAGTATTTTTAAAAAATTGCAATTTTCTAAGCTAACTACTTGGTATATGATTACATACATGTACACATATAGTGAAATGAAACTAAACTAAATTATTAATATATTTGTATATAATTAGAAAAATAGACTAGATATGAGAATCTGTATAGTTATGAAATAGTACTATCTAATTGTTTCAGTATTACTTTCTTCAATGTAATATATAGTGTATTGAATTTTATTACTTCAATACGGTTTTTGTACGACCCTAAAGATGTATCTTCAATTCCAGGGAATTTGAGAAAAAAAGAGCTTCTCTATAATTTTATTAATATTTATTTAAATTAAGAGAAGCAATGTATTTTCTATTAGTGGGTTGTTTTTTCAATTATTTTCGCCATTGAATATTTCGGTATTCGAATATTTAAACTACCTCTAATCGAATTTTTTATTATTTCATATATCATCTGAGTGAAATGTTACATTTGAATACCAAATAAGTGAATGTTTTTTTATTTTATTTTTTTTAATTAAAAGAGTGCAGTTTATTTTATCTGTATCTCAGTAGCGTGTGTGTACTTTAAATCTCAGTTGTGCACAAACAAAATTGATTATATAAAAATTACATAATGCTGTTTATATTTTTTACATTTCCTATAAAAATAACCAAAATTGCACGCATGCGTTATTGGTTATAAAAAAAAATATATATTAATTACGTATAATTAAAAAAGGAACATATATATATATATATAATGTATGGATGGAATTAAATTTTTGACAAAATAGCAATAATTTTGAAAAGTCAATGTATCATAGGAACATACAGTACAATTCCTCATACAGCTATTATTTTTCGTCACATTTAAATGCATTCAAATATGCACATCATAACGATCATGAAGTCAAAATGACGTGAAAAAATTAAAGTTTTTAGCATTTCAATACATTGTATATAAAATCCTAAAATTATTACTATCATTATCATTATTATTACAATTATTAATTATCATTGTTATTAATATTTGGCGAAAATAAACACTCATGTATTATAAACATAAATACAAGTTTCAAATATTGTCATGTATGGTACTTTTCCTAAGCCGTATTGATTCGTGAGACAAATATTTTTTGAGACTGTGCAGCATTTTTCTCCCTTGTAAAAAAATATAACAAGCAGTCAAAAAATAACTGGTTTTCTTATCTCTACAAATCTAGTAATAAAAATCTATTTAAATTGCAAGAACATGATAATATTCAAAGTCTCGTAATAATGTAGTTGTATATCTATAATGAAATATACATTGATTCGTAAGTAACTCGGTTATGCAAAATTATCACAAATTTGCTGCAAACTAACAATATTTAAATATACACTTTTATACCGTTGTTTCAGCCAGTTAATAATCAGAAATATCGTCACTTGTGCAATCTACACAGAGCTTGTACAAAGTTAATCTTTCTTTCGTAAAACAATACTATACATGACCCTCTTTCAATATCATACATTTAACAGTAATGAATGTGAATTACTGATAATAACTAACGTCGTTGACATGTGATTAACTTTGTAAATGAAAAAAATTTATTATTTGTTTCAAAATCGTTCAGTCTCTTTATAACTATTTACATAGCTACACTAGACAATTAAAAATTGATCTTATATTAATAATATAATAATATAATGGAAAAATTAATTTCGCTCACCCAATAAGAGTATCTCTGAACTGATTTAAAAAAAAAGGCATGGAAATATATTTAATACAATTGGTTCGAAAATAAATAACACTGTTTGTAATTCGACTGCATGACAATTCAATTACTGGTACTCTTGTCTAATAGAAATCCTATTCCTTCAAAATTCAACACTTTCGTTCCTCTAAAGTACTTTTATCGGCAATCCGAGTTCGGATATTGTCGCTTTATCTAAACTGCGATCTAATTTGTGTAACCTTCCCATTACGTTCTTTCTTTCGAAATATAAGAAATAATTTTAAAGAAAAAAAGGGAAAGAGAAAAAGAGAGCAATTTACTTTCATTGTAACGTTAAACGCTGAAGGATAGCTAATAAGATTAAATCACAGAGATACGACAGTTTGAACGTAATAGGAAGAGATTTCGTTTATAATATTAATACGAGAGCAATTATTTATTAATCTAGTTGTCGAAAATGTGTTTAAGATCGTGCTCGTAGGCGGCGATAAGTAACATAATTCCAAGGCCTGTCGATAAGCCTAAAGTTTGCCAAATACATTGCAATCGCAAACCACTTTCCGCGGAATGACTCGACGACAATTCTGGTACCTGAGGAAATAGAAGTAATTAGCGTTTAATTCTTAAGTTATCGTAGATCTGTCGTAGAATGAAGTATATCTACCATATCTACTAATGCTATATATATAAATATTCCAGCGGCAACTGCAAATATCCAGCTGGTAGCATCGGGAGTACTTCCTAATAATATTCCGCCTATCATACCTAACAGACAGAGCACTGAAGACAATAAATTGTAAAAAACAGCCTGTTTCGTACTCATGCCCGCTTTTAGAAGTACTGCAAAGTCACCTGTACAAGAATATTCATATTATATTACTAATAACGAATTCGATTGGACGCACTTAGTGCGCATTGATGCACATTAACGCCGTTGTACACCAATTAACGTAAAGAGAGAGAGATATGATTATTATAAACAGAAATCCTATTAAATCACGAAATACTCAACACACTTTATTATGCTGTTAGATAAAATATGTATATTTTAAAATTTGAACTATTTATATTTCCCTTTTACACTCAAATTAAATTAGTATACAACGGCTTTGATATGCATCAGTATGCACTGTGTGTCCAATCGAATTTAGCATAGTTATACACATATATTTACAGGTACACCATCAGGAATCAGGGAGACAATACCGAGTTCATGAGGTAATTCATGACAGAGAACAGCGATAGCTGTGGAGAATCCACCAGCGATGTTTGCTGAAAAAGCCGCTCCAATAGCCATACCATCCGTAAAATTGTGCAGACCATCCCCCATTACGACCATCCAAGCTACATTGGACATGGATTCGGGGGCCGAATGCACGTGGCCTAGAATCAAAACGTTCATACTATGACATGCACACATTGCGTGAAAGATTACAGTATTTATATCTTATTATAAAATCTTGAAAACGTACCATGAGAATGACTATGGCCGTGATGTTTAGTCTCGTGTTCACGTAGAATCACGGTATAACTCTCCGATTCATTTAACGATACGTCAGCTCCATCGGCATTTTTCTTAGCGTTTACGATCGAATCATCCATTCTCCAATCGTCTTTTGGTTTTTTCTCTGTGTCATCAGTCACGATTTTCGTGACAGAGTTACAATTGGATGTCAATGGTTTCTCCTCCTCGATGATAGGTGGTCTTTCATGATGATTCATTCGTCGATTGTGATGATTATCTACATATATTGAAAGATTATTTTTATCTTTCAATAAGCCTTTGGGATGAATATATTTTAACATGACAAGCTGTTTTGTTTTGATAAAAACGTGACAGCTCAAGTAACCGCGAAATTTAACATACATTCGATTTAATACAAAAAACATCTGTCACCTTGAGTTTCACTAGCAATCTCGCCGTAACAATACGGGTACGAAGAGTATTTGTGTTTACACAGCTTTTCACCGACAACATTGCTGTTTGGCCCATCGCTCTCCCTCATTACTCTCACGCGCGTAGGTAACTACAATATTTTTTCACCGATATAACGTGTGAAATAACGTTTATGACAAAGATTCCTTTCTTATTTACCTTTTTCTTATGCTGCCAATGCTTCCGCCATTCTGATATCACATTTAACGCCTTCTCAGTGAAGAAGAACGTCATGAAACCCATCATAGCGACTAATCCTTTCCACATATTCATAGTATGTAGATTCACATGATCAATTAATAACGCGTTACTCTCGTCGTGGTGATGTTCGTGTTCCTGATATTTATTGTTTTCATGGTGATGAAGTGGCATCATCGCCTACAGACGTAAGAGAGATTATTAAAATATATCATTTTATTGCTACACAGATATATAACATCTTGATAAAATAAAAAAAAAACTTGCGTGTGGTAATAGATGGATAAAGGCATCACCGGTTAAAGTACCTACGGCCAGGGCAACTAAAAACTGTAGCACGTGATGATAATAATTCTTTCCCATGATCGGAATTACTGCTACGCCGAGCAGCCCACTAAGACTAATTACGAAAATACTAACTGTTGAATATACCCAGACTGGAATACATAAAAGTGACAATTTTTTTATTTCCTTTCTTCAAAGAGGACGACGTATCTTTAAGACTAAATTGATCATTGCATTTTATTTGTTTACATCCATGTAATACCTTTTACAGTATTACGCGCCGAATCCTCCGCTGTATAAAATTTATCGACTGGCACGACGGGCTTGTAGTTCTCGGGTACTCGTATACAGCCGTTTCTCTCCGAACTGGATTCGGCCGCTAATTGGTACACAAGGACCGGACACACGCGTTCGAAAAGCCAGCTAGGCAATGTCGTCGCGTTACTATTGGAAACGTAATGCGTATCTTGGGCAACAGTATTTAGCAACTCTTGACTATTTAAGCACTGAAATAGAAGTGAACACATTGAATTGATGCGCTATATATAACATAATTACAGTATAATTACTTAAAAACAAATTTCTATACTCGAAAATTAAGCTATTCTGTTAAATAGTATATTTATATAATAGCTATATTTAGCATATCTTACCCTTTCCTTGTTATTGTTACTATCTGTGTCGTGTAGGCCTTTACTTGAAAAACCCTTGCTATCTGTAACGCATAAAGATGGTTTTCTTAATAAGTTCACTATAATCCTTTAATGTGTATCATGAGACGCTTATTACATAATTCATTTTTGTACATACTTCTATCAGCGGCACCACTATCTGCCTCTAA